ACCATGTTGTAATTGTAATTTGATGAGGGGTCAAATTATAAATGTACAACACCTACAAATAAGAGGTTATGGTCCCTAATCTAGGGTTACATTCTCTAATTCTCTTCACCCCCATCTAGAGAGAAAATTGGCTAGAGAAACCTTAAGGTTAGAAGATTATCAAAACCCTAATCAGGTTTTTCTTCAATGGATTCAGGTATATGCTTCCGCACCTTTTGATTCTTGTTAATCTCTTTGAATCAATCATGGCTTTAAGATTTAGATCTCAAATATTAGATCTAACAAGTGCTATCAGAGCCACCGTGATTTGTTCTAAGAGATTAAGATTAAAATTAGGGTTCTTTGATCTTAATTTTTGTTTTATTCAGATCTGTTCACGGAGGAACAGTAACATTTTTTATTTTTCGGATGAACAGTAAAAACAATGGTGAACAGTAAAAATAATGGTGAACAGTAAAGTTTTTAATTTTTTGGATTTTTTCTTTGATTTTTCTTGGATCTGGATCAAGAAAATTTATTTTTTTCGATTCTGGATCTGGTTTTGAAATGAAATCGAGGAATTTTTGGATTTATTTTGTTTGGTCGTCGGTCTCGTGCTCCTCGCCGGCGAAATATCGTTGGCGGCCTTGCTTTCGACTCCGACGGCGACGGCGGCGTTAGGAAACCCTAGGGTTTCGACCTTTGGGTGCGGGAGCAATGACGGCGGCGGTTTCAGAATGAAACCCTAAGGGTTCGTGCGTGAAAACGTGCGGGAATTAAGGAGGTGGTTACCTTATTTTTTGGCAAAACTTGAAAGCTTTAAACGAAATTCGAGTTCGTTCTAAGGTGAGCCCCGCGCTCAATTTAAACGAACTTCGCGTTCGTTCTAAGGTGAGCCTCGTGCTCGGTTCTAAGGTGAGCCTCGCGCTCAGTTCTCAGGTGAGCCTCGCGCTCAATTTAAGTCAAACCTCGCGTTCGTTCTCAGGCGAGCCTCACGATCGATTCAAACGAACCTCGCGTTCGTTCGCAAGTTGAACCCTGCGCGTTCGTTCGCAAGTTGAACCCTGCGTTCGTTTTCAGTCGAACTTCGCGTTCATTTTTCAATCGAACTTCGTGTTCATTTTTCAAACGAACCTCGCGTTCGTTCTCAAATTGAACATCACGTTCGTTCTCAAGTTGAACATCACGTTCATTTTCAGACGAACCTCGTGTTCCTGCTTAGGTGAGTCTCGTACTCAATACAGACGAACCTCGCGTTCGAAGTCAAGCGAACTTCGTGTTCACTATGGTTAAGCATCAGCTTCTCATATTAAATTATGGGTCCACTTTGGTATACTTAATTTATTCAATTAAGTTATGGGCCCTATTTAAGCTATGGAAATTTAAATTAATTTAATTTAATTTAAACTTAATTTGGCAGTTAATCAATTATTTAATTCAAATATTATGATACTAAGGTATTAAGGTTGTCTCTCACTCCAATTGTTTAATTGAAACAATAAGTTACCAAAGTAACCTCTCTTGTGTAGATTGCTCATGAGGAATGTGAGATGTTTGTGTGTATGTTTTCGTGTAAATATTTAATCGGCCCAAAGGAAGGTTAATATTTATTTAGACTGTATACACATCTGTGATGATAAACGTGTGACAATTATAAGGTTTACATGTGAATAATGAATCGATCCAAAGATGACAATTATAAGGTTTACATGTGAATAATGAATCGATCCAAAGATAGTTTCATTATTTGACATGAGTTCTGTCAATGTTTGATCATTGTAACAAGGTATCACTTGCAATTAATATTACTGTCCAAAGACTTGATATTAATATTGTGCTAGATATCTTGGATGGGATTTGTCATTATTTGAATTTTATTGATTACTAATTATGGTTATTGATGTGAGCATTTTTGTTTTATTTCAGCTAATGCATCTGCTGCAACAATTTCTGCTAACATCAACTCAATTCCCATGCTCAATGGGACAAATTTTAAGGTTTGGAAAGAGAACATTTTAATTGTTCTTGGCTGCATGGATCTAGACCTTGCATTAAGGATTGAACAACCATAACCTTTCAATGTGGATAGCACTCCTGATGCAAAGGAGTATGAGAAGTGGGAGCGTTCAAATCGCATGAGTCTTATGATCATTAAGCGCAGTGTTCCGGAAGCCTTCAGGCATGAGTCTTATGATCATTAAGCGCAGTGTTCCGGAAGCCTTCAGGGGCATAGAATCCGAAGGGATTATTAAGGCTAAAGATTTCCTTGCCGAAATGGAAGCCTTCAGGGGCATAGAATCCGAAGGGATTATTAAGGCTAAAGATTTCCTTGCCGAAATTGAAAAACGTTTTGCAAAAAACGATAAGGTAGAAACAAGCACATTTTTAGCTCGCTTGATTTCAATGAAGTATAAGGGCAAAGGAAATATCAGGGAGTACATTATGGAAATGTCTCATATTGCTTCAAAGCTTAAGGCACTTAAACTCGATCTTTGTGATGAGTTATTAGTGCATCTGGTTTTGTTATCTCTTCCTGCACAATTCAATCAGTTTAAGGTCAGTTATAACTGTCAAAAGGAGAAATAGACTCTAAATGAGCTCATTTCATACTGTGTGCAAGAAGAAGACATGTTGAAGCAAGATAAGACAGAAAGTGCTCATTTGGCCTATGCCTCTAAGAATAAGGACAAGAAAAGAAAGAATGATAATGAAGCTGCTAAGGGTCCAGTTCAGAAGAAACAACATAAGGATAATCAGGGTTGTTTCTTCTGTAACAAGTCTGGACACGTAAAGAAGGATTGTACCAAATATCACGCCTGGCGTGCTAATAAGGGTACGTTCCTTACTTTGGTCTGTTCTGAGGTTAATTTAGCTTCAGTACCTAGAAATACTTGGTGGTTAGACTCTGATGCTACTACTCACATAAGTGTTTCTATGCAGGGTTGCCTGAGCTACCGAAAGCCAAATGATATTGAAAGACACATCTTTGTGGGCGACGGACAATAGGTAGATGTGGAAGTAATTGGACATTTTAGGTTGCTATTAGGAACTGGTTCTTATTTGGACTTAAAAGGTACTTTTGTAGTACCGTCTTTTAGACGGAATTTGATTTCAGTTTCTGTATTGGACAAATCAGGTTATTCTTGTTCATTTGGAAACAATCAATTCAGTTTATCTTTTAATTCAAATATTGTGGGAGCTGGTTATTTGAGTACTTATGACAATCTATATTTGCTCGATACAATTGCTTCTTATAATGAATCCTTGCATGTGGAATCACGTGGTACTAAACGTAAATTAAATAAGAAAAATTCGGCGACATTATGGCATAAGCGCTTGGGTCATATCTCAAAAGGTAGAGTTGAGCGTCTTGTGTCTAATGGCATTTTGGATTCCCTTGATTTTTTGGACTTTGACGTATGTGTTGAATGTATCAAGGGAAAACAGACCAAAGTTAAGAGATTATGTGCCAAAAGATCTTCAGACGTCTTAGAATTGATACATACAGATATTTGTGGGCCATTCCCTACGACATGTTGGAATGGTCAACAATATTTTATATCATTCATAGACGATTACTCACGTTATGGGTACCTATATCTCATTCATGAAAAATTTGAGTCTCTGGACATGTTCAAAACCTATAAAGCTGAAGTTGAGAATCAACTCAACAGAAGAATTAAAACCGTTAGATCTGATCGTGGTGGTGAGTACTACGACAGATATGATGGTTCAGGTGAACAACGTCCAGGACCATTTGCTAGATACCTAGAGGAATGATGTATCGTCCCACAGTACACCATGCCGGGTTCACCTAGCATGAATGGTGTAGCTGAAAGACGAAACAGGACTCTTAAGAATATGGTAAGACGAAACAGTCACTAGCATGAATGGTGTGGCATGAATGGTGTAGCTGAAGAAGCATTTGGAACTGTACGTCGCTTTTTCCAAAGAGAGAACATCTTTAAAAACAGTTCGCTCGGACATGAAATTTTTTTCACTTATTTTTTTATTTTCCATCGTCTTATCAGCGCGCGCACATGCTTTATTGCTAATATCATAGCTTAGATAAAAGATCAACAAGAAAATTTTGAATTAGGTTAATTGCCTTAAAAAATGTTCGATTGATATTACACCAGAAGAAAAAATAGAAAACCGTGCATAATTACCTTACAGCAACAGATCATCTGTTTTGTCTCAAGAAGGGCGTGCCCACGGGCCTGCCCATCCTTTGAAATCCCCCGCCTCAAACCCACCAGCGCTGGAGTCAATGACAAGGACAGCACGATCGGCCTGAGACGTCCCCGTGATCGTGTTCTTGATGAAATCACAATGTCCGGAGGCATCAATAGCAGTGCAGTGCTACTTCATGGTCTTGAAACTTCCAAAGAGCAATGTCCGACGGGAAGACCTCTCACGCTCAGCCTCGAGCTTGTCAAGCACCGAAGCATACTTGAATGACCTTTTTTGTTCGTCTCAGCGGCTTCCATCTCAGATGGTCAATTCCTCTGGGCTTGTAAATGAGGTGCCCAGTTGTGGTTGACTTCCAAGAGTCGACATGGCCGACGACCACAATATAATCGAAAAATTAAGCACGTAAAATCTCTTTTGACATTCATTTGACCAAACTTCCACCCTCAGTTGCCATTATGGGCAAATGGAGCTACTATGAATCCCAAATATCGTTGTCTAAAAACACAAATGTTGTGTGCAGAACATCGATTCAAAACAAAGGAAGAAGGCAACGTGAGATGGGCACAGCAACGTCCGATGGGAAACTCTGATGAGTTTTGCAGATTCTAGTTGCGACTTCTGGTACAGAATTCCACAGATTAAGGGAGAAAAGGAGCAGGATTGAGAATTTCTTGTATGTTCTGCTGCAGAATTACTGAAGAAAAGAAGCCTTCATGTTCAAAAGTATGACAAGCACAAAGCCTCCAAGTTTCATGTTCCATCCATTATATTTTCGCTATAGAGTGAAACAGGAGACGCAAGAGAATCTAAATTGCAGCCAGCTGATCAGAGACAATGAAAAATAATCACATTAAACGAAAGAGAAATAAAGAACATCAAAATAGCCTGTAAATTATGAATAGCATTTCACTCTTCTTTATTCCAAAATCATGTCTTCTGCCAAAATACACACGGGCCAAATGGAAACAATAAACTGAAGAGACCAGCATGCAAGCAGAAATTGAAGCAGAAAATTTTGTCCTTGTTTGAAAACCAGCTGAAGGATGCCTCCTGGCAAAGTTTAAATGCATCTTGCCCATCATTATGCTTCTTGTACCTCTGGAAAATAATCTTGCCTGAAAAAGGAAAATTGTTTAAATAGTTCAGTTACTCTACAATGGACTAAATGCGTAAAATGACAATCTCAGCAAGCATTTGAGGTTTAGCCAGATAAATTTCGTAAATATTGAGCAAGCAGCAAGAAAGTCTCTGAAGTAATCAAACACTGATGCCTCCGTTGTAACCAGAAAAATAACATAACATTTTATAGGCTGAGTAGCTAGATTGGTATTCTAATTTGACCCTACTCCAGTAAAGTATTTATTTCTGCTCTTACATCAACATGGTATTTTAACTATCGCCCAGGTGACAATAAGACCCTTTTTCTCGCCGCCGATCAAAAGTCTAGGAAACTGTATTTTTTTTCTTGGGAAAAATTTCTTCCATTCCCTTAATCTATCAAAATTATTGTATCTACACCCTCATTTTCCTTCTACTTCCTCCCACTTAAATTTTCTTCCACCCTTTTACCCCAATAAGATCCTTCTTTGAGCTCTCTCTCCTCCTTCAACCTCACCCAATTCACTCAAACCTTAATCTAACCCTAACAACTTTCATCCAAATCAACACCAACTTCGATTAGGGTTCAGGTATGAATGGAAAGATTTTGAACGAAAATAAGGGGGCTCAGTTGATGAGGGAAAGAAAGTGGAGGATGAGTAAAAGGGTGGAAGAAATTTGAATTGGAGGTGATTGAAGGAAAAGAATCATGTAGATTTAATAATTATGATAGTCACGAGGATGGAAATAGTTTCTTCACAAAAATACAGTTCATTGAAATTCTCACCGCCAGCAAGAAAAAGGGCATCATTGTCATCAGGCACAAGTTAGAATATCATACTGACGCCAGAGTAGAAATAAATACCATATTAAAAAAAATGATCAGGTTAGAATATCAATCTGGTAATTTGGTCCATTTTTATAAAAGCGTCTATGATAAAATTTGTCACAGATCATAGTGACACATAAAGGAACCCACCAATCGTTCACTCATCAGTAGTTTTGTTGCTAATGGAGTGGGATTTCCCCCAGCTAACAAGCCTAACTTTGGATGCCCAGGGATCATGTTAGTACAATGAGATTAAATACAAGAATGGGGAAATTAAATAACACATGACCAGGATTAAATACAAATGTTAAAATTTTCTTGCTAGTGATAATTTTTCATAGGGTTTTCCTCCCTAGAAACCACCTTTAAAATAGTATCATTCTATAGAAACCATCTTTGATTTTTAATTTATACATAAACCATCTTTTAAGTCTTTTTTGTTAAGTATCAACTAGCTAGGCCCACTTTCAGTTTACTTTTTCAACAATTGATCCTACATAACCTCCATTAAGGATCATCTCTCTAATATACTTGGAAATTAACAACTAACTGGCACAGCAAAATGGAAAAAAACTTGATTTAAAAGCAAGTCATGGTTGATTAAAAAAACTTTTGATTTATGTATAAATTGAAATTTGAAAGGTGGTTTTTATAGGGAAAATCCTATTTTAAAGGTGGTTTCTAAGAAAAAAAACATTTTTCGTATTTAACTTCTCTATTTAAATTCAACATCTCAAGCAAGTCACAACAACTCTAACCATTTATTGAAACTCGTTATATATGAGTCAGGTTTGTTTCAGGCCACATCCAACTTCAAAACTATGGTATAAAATGTTGAGAGTCTAGTTCAAAAATAGTATCCAACATAATAATCAACCCTTAAGGAAAATCCTCCTAGGCATTTCTCACTTAATCCTCCAAAAACGAATATTGTTAGGTCTAACATGTCACATGACAAGTGTGTGACTGCGAAAAAACCAAAATACCTCTCGAATTAAAATAGTTAAGGATGATTTCCGAGACATCCCCACAGTTGAGGGGGGTTTTCTAAAATTAACCCTTCTAATAAGTAATAACACACAAATTGAGAAACAATAATGGTCTCATGTAAATTATAATTTTAATATATGTATAGCCATGTCTTCGTACCCTACATGTTACAAATTAGGTGTGTCCCATACCCGCACCTGTACCTGTAACAATACATGTTTCTGTGCAACTTAGTTAAGCATGCATGTGTTATATATTGGTCATGAGTTTCTAGAGATGTATAACACACCACACATCTACTGCATACTAGTGCCAACTATCAACCAACCATTCTCAATCCACATCTATAAGGTATACATGCATAAAATTGCATTGCATATTTGATAGGCCATTCACTCAATCGCACCTCTAACAATGGGTAGTTTCTTAGTATGCAAATAATATTGCAAAGAGGTTTAGCATCATCTCCTTTAATAGACTATGTACTAAGCTACTACAGGAGTAGATGAATATGGGATCATGTGATAGAATATGAATGTTGAAATAATCTAAATGCCAAAACATGAAACCATAGTCATCACTATATAAAGGTTCTGAACCACTTAAATTATAGAATTCGGAAGACCATCCTGATTTCTACACATGCCTATAATACTAAAATGACAGAAGGAACTTAAGAACCCATGAAACATGAATTGGTTCATGCATTTGTCGATTGAATTAACAAAGACAACAAGTTTATAGCTTCTTCCACTCATTGCCTTAGGATGTATATTTAAGCTTAAAACATGAAAATAAGTAAAAATGGAGAAGATCACAAAAACAAACTTTTCCTGTTCCTCGTAACAAGGGAATATAATTTAAGTCTATTAGAGAGAGAATATTTATGTATAAACAACAACAAAGCCTCTATACCAAATTTTTGGGGCTAATTACATGAATCGTATTCTTCCATTCAGGGATGTCTCCTCCATTAAGTTAAATAAGGATTATCTAAATTAATAAGTATTATCTATATATAAACTTTAATAAATATTTACATGGATTTTGTAATATAAACTTGTAGTAACATGCACATATCAATTTGAAACCAACCCAAATTTTCTTGAACTAATATGAAACTATGCAATACCGGATCTTGCGAGCCAGCTGGTAAAGACCTGTTCCCGCCATTGCAACATTGACACTGAACAGATTCCAATTTTTCTGCAATTCACAAAAAACACAATCGAAAAAGATGAGGATAGAGTAACGGAATGCCTTTCATGTATGGTAAATTGAACAATATAAAAGGAGAAAATCACTGAAAAGTTATAACAAAGAACCATTTTATTAGGACAACAGCACTGTATGTCATACAAATAGTCCACTCATATAGAGGCAGAAAGAAGCAGAGCATCGAGATCAACAGTCTAATAAGAACAAAGACTTTCATGATATGAGGTCAATGATATCTCAGTTCTGGAAATGATATCTCAGTTCTCTCTTCCCCAAGTAGCAATAGCCAGATTGTATCATATTAATGTCGAAGGTTAGATGGTTCAGTTCTTACCCCATGGCTTTAGGCAATTACTTATTACACACATGGCTAACTATGTATGCTAGTATATTGGCACGTGCAAGTAATATTAAACTTCTATCTAAATAGTTCTTGGTCTTGTGCATGTTAATTATGTTATACTCATTTAATGTGTATTTATAGTATTTCTAGTAAAAAATGCATGTGCATAATGCGCGTGATCAAAATAATAAGAATTTATTAAATAAAAGTATGCATATCTTTTATGCATCTAAAAAATTATTATTGTGCTTTCAATTAGTAGGAGGAATGAAATTGAACTTAAAATTCATATAATAGTTTATTAATCATCATTTATGATATGCCACAACCTAGCTTGTATTGTGTTGCATTTTGATTTTTTAAATTATATGATTTTTGAGAAGGTCATACATGAAATTTTAAATTTGAGAAGGAGATGGAGGACTGAAAGAAATGGAACTTTCTATGAAGAGAGGGATGGAATTTAAATTTAAATTAGAGTAAGAGGATTTAAAATTTAAAAGTAATAGAACCTTCTAGAGAACAAGGAGAGAGTAAGAGGAACTAAGTGATCTGAGCCACCAACCTGGCCTCCATCGCAAGGGGTTTTCTTCTCAATTATCTTGAAAATCTAAAGATATCTTGCGGAAGACTTGAATTTTGGAAGGAGAATCAAATCGTGACAGAGCAGAACTAAACGACACACATTTCCAATATTATTCCCTTGGAATCTTGGAGAAAGTGTAAAAGTTGGCATGAATGTTGGATAAGATGTGGCTAACATCTTTAGCACCTGCTAAAAACCGTTTTTTATTTATTGAAAAGCTTATGTAAACTTAAGTGGACTGTTCCACCTACCTTTTTTCCATTGAATTTGCTTTGAGATGCATGTTAACGTGTGATACACATCTCACGACCATTACACACAAATATGCATGTCAAATTAAATCCAAGGGATTAAAAATTTGATGGATAGAGTCGACAGTCCACGCAAGTTTACATGAATTTTAGTATATATGAGCGCGCATCTCTCTATATATAAGACCTGGACTGTTTTAGCCTTGATACGACAAAGCTAGCACGTAAGGAATATTGTATGGACGGAGGAGAGGATATAGATACTGTTTATAGATATATCTTCTTCTTCGTTTACATATATATCAAAAGAAAAACAGTAAAACAGTAAAAATGGAAGCAAGAGAATAGACAACGGAAGCTAAAAGAAAATGAATAACTTCAAAGCAAACTAGATAGTAGTATTAGCAGAAAGTAAACATACATACCGAAATATCTATACAAACTATGAGATGGAAGATCAATTGGCCAGCACCGGAGTAGTAGTACTACTACACACCTTATACACTAATCTTACAAACACCCAAAAGAAAACTTCAAAGCAAAGCTCACTCAAATTTAAAAGAAAAATAAGAATAGAAAACAAGAGGAAGCTCTAAGAGGTTTTCTCTCTTCATTCTCTAAAAAGTCTCCCTTCATTTCATGAACTTCATCCCCTTTTATAGAGTTTTTTAAGATACTATGCTTAGATGCTTTGTCATGATATGTAGGACCTACAATAGCAAAGTTTTCAAAATCTATCATGAAAATAGGTTATAGAGTAGCCATTGTAGTATAAGTAGGTAGGGGACACAAATTTTTTCATGCTTAAGTATTCAAAGTGGGAATTTGATATAGAAATATCAGGGTACTGTATGCAGTCTTTTCAGCCAGAATTGTGGATAGCTGCATCTTTTAGAAGTGATTCAAAATTAGATTAGAGTTTTTATTATCTTGAACTAGGAAAATATATTGGCTAAAAATGATCGACTTGATTCTTAAGTCGCTAAAATTAATAAGAGTTTTACCATAATTTAATGGCATGTCGCATTTTCCCATGTATGAGTTATTTCCTCCATCAAATCACCGTTGATTGATATATATCATCTGAAGAAGGGAGTTTATTTTCTTAGTAATGTCTTGCTGCCATAAAAACGTCATATACTTCTCTTATTTCTGGACCAATTGGTGGATTGGTCATCCATCGTTCTATGACTATTTTGGTTGCCATTGTCTGAGAAATTTCTCTCGTATTAATATTTATACAGATAATTCAAAGCTCATCCGTCATATAATATGCATAATCTTCGATTAGATATTCAAGTTTTTTGTACAAGTGGATGATAGTTTGGAAACAATCCAACCTTACATCATAGCATTTTTCATGAAACCAGTTGTAAGAATGGAGTACTGAGACTGTAAAAACTTTTCATATCTACAAACTTGGAAAGTATTCAAAGCGACTTCTCTCTTGTAATATAGTCGTAATATTGAATTGAAGGTGCGCAAGACTTATACAAGATAGGAAGATAGATGTCTTGACAATGGTTGGCAATCCTTTAAACCTCATTGGATTGTAGAAAGATGGGGGATCTCTTGTAATTCTCAATTCAGAGACAATCGCTACTTTTATGTGAGATATATACATAGGAATTTTATGAAAATTTACCGCAAATCTAGGAGCGTTATATGCTGAAAGATTTATGAGCACTTTGTGATTGTTTAGAAGGAGAATAACAGTCTTCTTCTACTTTTGCCTTAATAACATTTTGAATGTCTTGAGACAGAATATTTAGTTTGGATCATAATTGCTCTCGGTTTATACGTTCTTTGCATATATTTTCTTGAATGTATTTTGGCACTTTTAGGAATTTGAAACATCTCAAAAGATGTTAATGTCCCCTCATTAGAATAAGGATAAGAGATAATTAATCTCATATAAAAAATCTATAAATCTTTCTTGTATATGATTATTTTGTTTAATATACTTATCATCTTTATCTTAGAAGATGGACTAAATGAGCAATGTAAACTCTGATTTGCTTTTTCTCTTGAGCACATATACTGTGCTATGGATCATTGACGGTCATATAATCAGGGGATTGTAATCTTGGGTCATAAAAACATTTAAGGAAGGTGCTTGCATTGAGCATGTCGCTTGGGTTGATCGATAGAATTTTCCTTTAGCTTGTAAGGTTAAAGCTTAATGAGGCATCTTTCTCCCGCAAAATGTTCGCAAATGTGCATTTGAGTTTAATATTTTGTTAAAGTATTGAAAAAATATATCTAATTCTCTCAAGCGTTCTTTAAAATTTTCGAAAAGAGTATTTTTGCTTTTGCCAGTAATACAAGAAAACCTCAACATTCGTGAAGATAATATTCTAAGAACTTTAGATATTATCGTCGAAAGTAAGTATACCCTAGCAGCCTTCATCTCCAAGTGTAAAAAGAGAAAGGCAGGATGAGAACGGTTTTTAATCTATTTCTTCTAATACTTGCATTTGCCAAAACTCATTTTTATATAAAATTTTGAGAATATTTTTCCATGTATAATATTATTAATTTAATATTCTGGTACCTGATAATTTACCCATACAAGATTATTTGACCTCTCATAATCAATAATTTGACTTGAGACTCCATGTTCAAAACAATTGCTGAGTTCAAACAATATGTATCATAGAAAGTTTTTATTATATTATCTTCAATGAGTTCAATTTCTTTTTTACAAAGAGACAAAAAGATTTTCATCCATTTTGACCAGCATGTCGAAATATCTATTATCAAAAGATATACGAGAAAACTCTTTTATATAAGAGAAATGGACATTTCTTTTATTATTAAGAATTTTTATATTGAAGGAGTCTGGATAATTGTTATTTTCATCTCCTCTATAAGGAATAACATTTATAATTTTTTCTTTATAATGTAAGGCAAAAAATAGTCTATTAACTAATATGTCTTCTGGTTCTTTATTAAACTAGAAAGAAACATTGGGATTAGTGGCATTTGTATGAATGACATGATTATCTACAATAAAAGGTTTAAGATTATTAACAAAACGAGTTCCCAAAATAATACCTTGCTTAAGGTCTTTAAGTAAGACATAAAAATTTGATTTTAAGGCCTCCATTGCAAATATAAGCATTAGCAAGTTTATACCTTGTGTTCAGAGTTTGTCTATTAGCAACGCCAACTAGATGGGATGTTTTTCACAGAATCTAGAAGGAACAAGATCTTCTCAAATACAATTCACGTATGCTCTTGTGTCAATTAGAGCGGTGTGTTGAACAGAGTATTCATCCATAATGTTAAGCATGATATCACACATTCATTTCTTTTCAACATATTTTTCTATAGAATTTATAAATTCATTATCATTGGAGTTTTATTCATGTTCAAAGTTTTTTATTTCTTTGAAACCTTCAAATTTTTCTATAGTTTTATTTTCTAAGTTTCCAGATTTTTATCTTTTATTTAAGATCAAGAATTCCATCTTCATATTTCCCTGTTCTTTTCGAAATTCTCTAATATTTAGTTTACTTTTAATTTTCTTTTCATTTTGAATTCTATTTAAATTTCAGAGAAAGTATAGTGTTCATTACTCTTCTTTTCATCAATGACTTTTGCTAGATTTTTCCCTTTATTTTACATGTTATAAATTGGGTTCTTTTTTTTCTTGTGGATCAGTGATCGCACCTATTGTATCAAGAATAAACTGTTCGTGTTTATTTAAAGTATTTAACTCAAAAGTTCCTGAAGAATTTTCAGAGAATTCAACAATGTCTTTATTGTAACAAGTGCAAAGATTGTTGCGCTAATCATCATAATTTGATGAATCATCATCTCTAAGCTTTA